ATTTAGGCAACGATAAGTCGCCAAAGAATATGATTTGTTCATGAAAGGTGACATCAGCAGTGACCATTTACCTGTTTAAGAGGGAAAAAATATTGATATTTTTTTTTGCAAATGAGAGTATTCTAGAAATACACGCCTTAATGGCTTAGGATCCAATTTAGAAACCCGTAAACGAGTATTACGAACAAAACAAGTACACCAAAATATATGTGATTCAATGAGAAATAAAGATTTGGTTGGAAGTAAATATTGTCAAGTTATTTAGTTCTATAAAACAGTAGAAGACATTCAATTGATAAAAGTATGTGGTAGAAATTCAAGAATTGTTTGGGTACATTTGTTAAAAAAAAATGCTCTTGCTGTCTCAAGAAAATGTTTATTATTTTTTTTCAGCTACATTTTAGGATGAAGTATCAACACAAAATGATTGATGAAACACCTCATTTTGTGTCATGTATGTCTAAAATGTGCAAAGAAATATTTTTTGATGTTGTCACTTCTCAGAATTTTAACAGAAATATTGAATTGAGTCTTAATTTCAGAATAAAAGGATGAAAATGTGACAATAACTCAATATGAGATATCATAAAATCAAGTCAAATAATATGAGAAAAATTATCCACAAAAATGACAAAATATGAAAATATATGAGAAAAATTATCCACAAAAGTGACAAAATATGAAAAACTATTAGATAAAATAAGACAAGATCCCCATAGATCAGAATGAACCAATTCAAAACTATGACCAATTGTTTTATTAATTCTGGGAACAAAAGACAAATAATGGTATTTAGCAAATTGACATGACACACTCTAATGATAGTAATTTCTAAAATTGAGGGTACAACTTTTTTAACATTGGTAGTGATGGATGATCTAATTGATGATGGACCTCAGATGAAGATAACATCCTGATTGTCGTTCTTTACCAATAATCTTCTTTATTATAAGATCCTGAAAAAGACAATGTTCAGGAAAGAATAAAATACAATTATTAAAAACAAGTATAATCTTGATAACATATACTAAATTAAAAGAGTTTCAATAAATTAAGGGTAGACGTTAAATGTAATGAAGTTGTAATATTAATTTTGCCAGAACTAAGAATATTAGAGGTAGCTACGGTGACAGAAGAAAGATGCTTGTGAAAGGGGGGAAAGAGTCTTGTATTACCTATCATGTGATATGTGGCACAAGAATCAATGACTTAGTGTGTGGAAAAGGCAAGAAGACAGATATTATTGTTATCTGACTCAACAAAGGCAGTGACAGAGAGAGATTTCTTGAATGTTTCTTTAAATTGGATGAATTTAGCATATTCATTTGTAAAAATCTAGTGTCTGACTCTGAGAGGTCTCCTTAGTAGTGACCATGTGAGTTTTCTGTGATCTAGAACCCTTTTGATTCTTTTTGAGTAACTTCTGACTTGTTCTCTTTTTATGACCATGTTGATTATAGTAGTAGAAAACTACTCTTAAGCCTTGATTTCCAAAATTTTAAATTCCACTTTTATGTTTTCCTTAAGATTGAGGCTTGCTTATATATGTATTTTTTTAGCTAGCAAAAGTATTGAGTTATTGTACAAATGAAGCTTAAGAACTCAGAATAGTACGCAACACATTAGTATAAGCATTCCTCAAATTAATAAATCTAGGGTCAGAGTGGGTCTGTGATTTGACACGTTCATCCTAAGAGTTGAGGCCGGCTATAAAACTCATAATAGCCATTTATTCTCACTACTGAAGGGAAATAGTTTATTCAATTCTTCATAAACACATTTGAAGTGCATGTGATAACTGTTAATTGATTGATCTGTTGTTCAACTTGATATAACTCCTTGCATACATCAAAATTTGAGAAATATTTTCTCTCATAAAACACAAATGTCAGTTCCTCCATCACATCTTTAACAAAGAGTAATATGGTCATATTGATCAGGTTCAATAGTGTCCTGTATTTGTATCAAAAGCTGTGCATCAACTCTCATCCACTCATAATAATTTAGATCAACTCAGGTTGGGGTTTATCAATGAGGTGACTCTATCAAGAAATACTTTTAAAGTAGAGTCTCACTATTTTATTCCAGTAAAAATAATTGACACTATTTAACTATTCATCTGTAATTTTAACCAAACTCGTTTCATGCTTTTGTTCAATAATCATGCTTATCACCAATGATGACTTCCTCAATGAGTTGGTATATAAGAGATGGTACGGACAACTTGACGGGCGAGGCGAATTTCATAAAAGAGCAATGCTGAGCTGTAGGAGAAAAACGACTCAAACAATTCAATGATCTCCAAAGACAAATAAATATGATGAACAACACCATGATGAACACTCACGATGGATGAGGATACTTATGTGACTAATGTCGCAGGATTAAGACGACGAAGATGAAGATTCGAGCGATGACCTAATCCCGTCACAGGGTGAAGAAGAAGCTTTGAATAGTGCAAACAGAGCCGAATGACATAGGCAAGGCGATGTAAGAAGAGGAAGCTTTGAATGGTGCACAAGAGAAGTCGCACAATGTGGATGGAGCCGAATGACGTAGACAAAGCGATTGAAACACTAAGAAGATCGACACAGATTAAGCTATACGATGTATAACGACGAACGACATTGGTAAGGCTGCTCTCGCGTGTGGGGAATGAAGCCGAACCGAGAAGGGTGATAAGTCGTGCGTGATTCTGATACCATGTAAAAGGAAGCAACTCTTTCTCTTATGTTTGAATTGAAAATATATGTTACATATTTATTATAGAAATAGATCTTTTAATTGGATCTCTAATTAGATTACCTAGTATCAAGAATATACAAGCTTTAGATTTATTACCTTCCATAACCGTTGAATCCAAATTTGTCTTGTGAGTGCTCAAGTGATATAGCACGATAACCGAGGGAGAGAAAATGGGGGAGAGAGAAAGAGGGAGATTTGCCCTTACGTGGGGGGAGGGGTTTAAGAGGGGTGTTCCCAGGCTCTTTGGCCCCTTTGATTCCACTAAACTTGAGGGTTATAAGTGGGAAGAAGAGAGGAGTTCCTTTTACATGGGGGTTGAGAAAGGGAGCCTAAGGGACCTTTTACACATACCAAGTTTCCTCTATTTATAGAAATAAATATGAGAGAAAGATAAGATTACAAATATACCCTTGCTTTATGGAGGGCAGTGCAGGGTATTTCAAAAGATTACAAATATACCCTTGCTTTATGGAGGGCAGTACAGGGTATTTCAAACCTTTCCTTGCTCGAAATTGCCAATCTGGAGCATTTCTGTCATTGGAGCTCGTCGGAGTCGGGTGGTCGACCAAGAGTGGCCGACAAGCTGTAGATGGCTAGCCCGTGGCTAGCTGACTGGACTATTTTAGCCGACCCAATGTGGTTGGCCGGCTGGAGTAAGGTGGCAGGCCTGACGGGTGCGTGGCTTTTGGTGTGACTCTAGTAATTGCAGTTCATTTGACTCGACGATGGCATTGAAATTTTCAGGCTTTTACTTCTTGGATGCGAAACTGTAATAAGAATAAAGAAGTCATAAATACTTAAAATGTGATCTCATGAATCACTAACTGGACTTAGTTTTTAACATTCTTTCATTAGCTTTATATATTTTGATTTTGAGGCCTGATTTTTGATAAGATTGTCAGTTAGATATGGTATTTGCTCAACTCAAGTTTCACTCCTTACCTGGTCTCTTTTGCTCTCTGTTAAGGATTTTCTATCTCTAGAAGTGTGAGATAGGGTTGTCCTTTTTTATTCTTTTCTTCTTTCTCTTGTTGCTCTTTTTGCTTTGTGCTTTTTATTTTTCTCTCTGTTTTTGTTTTTCTCCATTTTGGTGTGCTCGTTTTTGTGTTGTCATGCACTCCACGCTCACCGTATTTTTTAGGATTTTGAATCTAAATCTGCCCTGTGAGTGCCCAAGGGATAGAACACGACGATCGAGGGAAAGAAAATAGGAGAGAGAGAGAGAGAGAGAGAGAGAGAGAGAGAGAGAGATTTGCTTCATTGGGGGTAAAGACCACTAAACTTGAGGGTTACAAGTGGGAAGAAGGGGAGAATTCCCTTTACTTGGAGGTTGAGAGAGAGAGAGCCTAAGGACCCTTTTACACATGCCAAGGATCCTCTATTTGTAAAAGTAAAAAAAAAGGAAAAGATAAGATTGCAAATATGCTCTTGCTTTATGGGGGTAGTATACAATATTTCAGACCTTTCCTTGCTCGTATTTGCTTAGCTGGAGCTCGTCAGCATTAGGTGGCTGGCCAGGAGTGGTCGGTTGGTTGAAGTCATTCAGTCGGCCCAATGTGGTTGGCCGACTGGAGGTGGTCGGTGAGGGTGGTCAGCAGAGTGGACTATTTTGATTGGCCCAATGTGGCTAGTTGACTGGTTTTTTAGAGTAGGTTGGCCGGCCTGACGGATGTGTGGCTGTTAGTGTGACTCCGACGACGGCGGTTCCTTTGGCTCGACGAGGGCGGTGACATTTTTAGGTTGTACAATAACAAATATTAAAAGGTGTGTTCACATATATTCCACAATTCTTATCCATATACATATCTAACACCTAACTTTTAATTTTTACATTTATAACACAAGTTTTTATATTAGGTTAAAAATATCACAATCTCTAATTTTTAAAAGTGAAGTGAAATGCATCTTTTCATGCATAGGTAAGACATCAGGAGTGTGCAAATGAAAGTTTAGGCATTAGATACATAATTATATAGGAATTATGTTTCATGTACTGAAATTTTCCACATCAAAAATATGTCAGCTTCCCAAGTATGCCAGATGATATTGTTATCATATTTATTTGCCCTGTGAAAACCTCGAACCGCTTATGCGGCTCATTTGACCTAGTGATTGGATGTTTCGTCTTCAATTACAAAGTCTTGTGTTGGAGGAGAAAGCGAGAAATACTTTGAACCTCTGACCAGCCCTAAAGGGGTTGCCTCTTGATAAGATGACTCCATTAATATCCGTACTATGTTAACTCTTTTTTGCAGATTGAAATGGGAAGCACAAATGTTAGAATAGGATCAACCATCTTTGGACCAAGGGAGTACCCAAAGAAGGACAAAGTAAGCGAGCCAAAAAGCTCAAGTTCATGAATTGTTGGATTGGATTTTTAATGGGACTAACAAATCATGACGTCTATGTTGCTTCTAATGTCTGTTTAGCCATTCATAAAACATGAGCTCTTATTGTAATTTTAATGCAATGGGGAAGGATTTCATGAAATGTTGTCTTCTTTACATGTTGAAAAAGCTCATAGGCTCAGTAGAGCTGTTGATATCAGTAAACAGATATATATATATATTTTTATTATGTGATATGTTAATTATATATCCAGAACATAACAATTGGGATTTAATTGTTAATTTAAAATTCCAAATGATAATATGTTAAAGGGGCATTAACGTACATAACACACTGCTTTTTTATTTACATATCCAACACCTACATTTTAATTTTTGCATTCATAACATACAAATATTTAACATCACAAAAATATCACTTTTGTTCGACCTTTTAAAAGTTAAATGCATGTTTTTATGGATAATTTTACGGGACTAATGTGTTATACATGTAAATATTAAAGTTTAGACGTGAGATATATAAATTTATAAGAATTGTGGAGCATATGTAAAATTTCCCTATATTCAAATATATGATATTTTGTGTCACGATGTGACTTAAATCTCATATGGGAGAATTTGTTAGGGGTGGATAACATGTGTAGGTCTAAAGGTGTGAACGAGCAGAACATGAGCGAGTTGAAATTTTGTTTGTGTTCAGCTTGTTTGCATTAATGGATGTTCAAAATTAGCTCGTGTTCGAATTATGCTTGTAATGAGTCTATACATGTTCAGCTCGATATTACTCAACTTTATTCAGGAGCAACTAGACTAAAAATTTATTCATGAGCAGAGTGAAGATAGTTTTCGAACTAGTGAACGAGCTCGGTTTTTCATACAATAAATTAAAGGTTGCATGGCGGAAGTTTTGAATTTTCGTGTTACAAGCGGGGTGGGTTAGTAGGTGAGAGATCAGTAGGCAAGGAGAAAATATTACGTATTTTGTAAGTATATACTTATATAAAAGTAGATGGAGTGATCACATCATCATAATTTCACTTATATGTGATGTGGTCACTCAATCCATCCTTATAAGTACATACTTTATAAGTCTGAAATATTTTCTCAGAGACATGAATGTGCAAATAAGTTTTATAGGGGTATCTACATACAACAATTCTATGCATGTAAATGCCCTATAAAATTTTGAGATTTCTACATACACATGTGTTATCATCCAATTTCTACATTTTTAACATATCTACCCACAAAAACTTAAAATTTTTTAAATGCAGACCCTGGAGTAGCAATATTTCCTCCAACCGCACACATTGCGAAGCAGCATCACAAAAATCTCCAGCCTTATCTTCTTCCCCTCCTCCTCCCTCAGTCTCCCTTCTCCACCACCCAAATGCATGCACAAGGCTTCCTCCTCCTCCCCTCCACCCCCGCTCCATTTTCCCCACACATCCCAAACCAATCACCAGCACCACCAATACGCTGCACCTCAAACGACAACACGACGGAACGAACCCTCCCCCTTTCCATATCAGACGCCGATCTCGCTGCCCGCGGCATTCGCGTCCGGCGAAGCTCCGCCGGCCTGGACTTGGAAGCCCTGAACGCCGTGTTCGCCCGAGTGGGGTTCCCGCGGCGGGAGGCGTCGCGGATTCGCGTGGCGCTGGAGCACACGGACGCGCTGGTCTGGCTAGAGGAAGACGGCGAGGGAGGCGAAGGGGTGCCGGTGGCCTTTGCGAGGGCGACGGGAGACGGGGCTTTCAACGCGGTGGTGTGGGATGTGGTGGTGGAGCCGGCGTTGCAGGGTACGGGGTTGGGGAAGGCGGTGATGGAGCGGCTTTTGGGGGATTTGAGGGATCGGGGGATCGGGAACATTGCGCTGTATGCGGAGCCGGAGGTTGTGGGGTTTTATCGGATGTTAGGGTTTGCGGTTGATCCGGCTGGGATCAAGGGTATGGTGTACTCCCGGAGGAAGAACAAGAGATGAGCCCGAAAATACTTCGGACTCTGGAGCCAATATTATCTTATCTGTGGAATTTGCACATGTGATTGACGTTAAGGTGGTGGTATTGTCAGGATATTTTATTATAATATAATCATAATATCATTAAATATTATCAAATTTGTAAGAATTTTATGCACATGTAATATATATATATATATTGATATTATCACTATGTGATTTGGTTTAACTTAGATTAATTCATGGCTGATTCAAAATGAATTTTTTTAGATTAGTATGTATGAGTACAGATACATCCTCTTTTCTCAGTGTGAATCATCGAAAATCATACTCTTTTCTTTCTTCAAGATATGGTACTGTTGGAGCAAATTCTTTGTGGCATTGTCACGATGTGATCGGGTTAGTTAATTGCGATACAGTGAAATGTTGATGGTGCGAGTCAATCTTTGGGTCAATAAGTCTGGGTAAAGGATATGTCGAAACTTTCTTTCTTAGTATGGCTAATCCAAAACTTCATGCTCTTTTTTCGATCCATCAATTTTATATCAATCTCGCTTAGGCACCATCATCATGAGATCAAGTTGACTGGTGTCGATTTAGTGAAATGCTGATATCCAGGTTAATTTTTTTGGGTTAGTAAACCTTGATAAGGGTTACATCCCATAAAAAATCCTTTTCTAAGTATAACTCACTATGAACACTCTTTTTTCCTTCCTTCGGTCTATCAGCTTTGTCAACTAAACCAACTTTGAACAAGTGCTATCACATTGGCTGAGTAAGTCTAGGGTAGCACAAGCCCAACTTCCTTAGTCAGTCATTAAAAACAAAGAGTTAGGAATATTGTACTAAGTTTAGTGGTGGATTAGACTTATCATCCCTTCATGAATTAGTCTTTATCACAATAAGGTTTGATTTTTCACTTTCCTAGATTCAAGAAAATTAGCACTTTAGACTCCTAAATCTTGAATTGGACCAAGAGTATCTTTCGAATGTGTTAGTATATTGAAAACCATAAAATTTTTTTTCTTTCCTTGGGTTTGTACACCTCAATCTAGTGAAATATCAATTGATCAAATGAGGATCTTGGCTCTGTAAATCTAATGTAGGATATATTCAGATTATCTCTTGCATCAGTCATTAAATACCTCGAGATTTAGGGGTTAAGCCTAGTTTGGCCTTGAACTACTTTCCATAGGTTTATCCTTTTTGGTTCGTTGGTATTGGAGTAATCGCTTTGTGGCACAATCATGATGTGATCAAGTTCATTAACCTCAAGCCATTCATAACTAGTTATGCAGGTTAATGCTTTTGGCTAATACGTTGACCAAGGGTATTTCCCATAATAAGCTTAGTCCATCGAAAACCCAATATCTTTTGCTTTCTCAAGTTCATCGAAATGTTGACTAAACCAGCCACAATGAAGACCAGTGCCTTGGCTGAGTGCTTTAGTGTAATATCTATGTATTACTCTAAGTCTTAGTTATAAAACACCAAAGTGTTAGAAGTGCAATTTTTATGTTTAGTGTGTACTGAATGTCTTAGGCCTACTTGCTTTCATCGATTGTGGAGCACGACCCTTGTGACACCATCCCAAATTTTCTTGGGTTTGTTGCTTTGCTGAAATATTGAATTTAGTAAAATAATGCATTGGCCAGTAAAGATCAAGTTTTGGGACAAGTCTCTTAGAATTCTTTCCTGTTTTAGCCATTGAAACTCATACATATTTAATGAATGAATTTTCTCTCCCTCCCAACACATTGACCCTGTTTCAGCTTTGCTAAATCAACAAGTTCATGCCTGGGCTAAGTAAGTCTAGTGCAGAGTGAATCACTACTCATTAGTGTTAGTCATTGAATACTCAAAGGAGAACCCTTGGAAACCAAAAACCAATGGTTAACTTCTAAGGCATCGATTAGTTCTCAGGTTAGGTATGAATCAATATATTTATCTATCCTGGTCTAATGACTCTGTTCATCTCTTTGGTTGGATGTAAGTCTCTATGCTTTCCATTCTAATGTGTTCACGTTTATCATATCAAACCTCCTTCAATTAGCTTTTAGTCTATATGTGAATCCGTGTGATGTTATAACCTGATCTAATCACCACGTTCACCTTTTAAGTTAGACGTAAGTTCATATGGTTTTCCATCCTAAAATGTCCAAGTAAACCCAAATACCCACCATGAATCCTTAATGAATCATATTGACAAGAAATTTAAAATTCAAAATCCCCAAACAAACAAATTTCAAACCTCAAAATTTTAATTCCCCAAATAAAAAATTTCTAAATCACGAACAAACCTCAAAGTTCTTAAAATACATATATAAAATTTTCAAACATTCCCATAACACGACTTTAATACTTCAAGTCCTCAAATAAAAAATTAAAATTTCAAATCCTTAAACACAAATCAAAACATCAAATCCTAAACACAACTTTAAAAATTTTAAAAATCCTCAAAACCTAAAACAAAATTTAAATCGACTCAAAAACTCAAATCCTTATTAGCAATGGCCTCGTTCCTAGCCTCAGTTGATCATCTTGGTAAACTCCAATATGTGCATCGTACTTTGCATAGTTCATCACACATATTTAGGTTTCATTTATTGAGCTCACTTTTCAGTCAACATTTTCTTTGGCTTATTTCCAATTGAATCTCATTTGAGCTTAAACTTGAACTAAAGCCTTATAAACCCTAATTTAAAATCTAATAAAATTAAATTGGAATCAACCAAATCAAAATAGAATCAAATATAACCAACATCAATCAAACCCTAAAATTGACCTAAAAATGAGCCTTAACCAACACACACCCTGAAATTATTATTCTCTTTCAAGATTATCGTAGGGCTGGAAACTTCATTTTGAAAATCGCATGATGTTAATTATCACATATAAAGATTATAAAAATGAGTTCGATGATCGTATGACACAAATTTTATGTGAAACTTTTCACTTCAATTTTTCATTCATGCATTGTTTTTCAGGCACAAAAAAAAATTATCATTTTCTCCACAAATCAATCTAGTGATCAAAATTAGATTATGTAAATTGCATAATATTCATTATCACATATGAGAAGCATGCAAACTAGTTTGATTGTCACTAAACAACATTTTTACATAAACTTTTTAAATTAGAGATTTCATGCATAAAAATAATAATACATAAACTTTTTTTTGGTGAAAATTTATTTTTTAAAACAGACTTCACAAGTGCATCGCGATCATCAAAATATTTTAAATGAGCCCCTTCATGCTTAAATGCGACTCCATTTGAGGACCGTTCAGTCGACGATAATATGGATGATAATTTCAATAATAAAAAGAATAATTGCACTAGTTAACTCGAAATGGACTCAAATTAAAATTCAACTTTGACCAAATTAAATATGAGGTAAAAGCACTTAACTAATCCATCAAAACCCACTAAATCTCCAACTCAAAAGCCGCCAAATTTTCTCTCT